TCCCGTTGAGCCTAGATACCCAAGGCTCCTTCACTGATCTGGTGAGGCTTCTCTTGCACTCCTTTTGTTTTGAGACAGAAGTAGAGCTAATGAACTGTTTGATAACACGCTGATTTCTCTTCCCTCTGAACCACAGAATGAGCAAGAGGCTCTCACCTTGACAATGCCAACGACGCCGGGCTCTTTACAGTTACTGTGATAGAAGAAGGCCTGCTGCCCAAGTTTCATTGCCCTCAGGAAATTCCGTGCCTGTCAGATTTAAACAAGAGACTGAGCTCTTTGTAGGAGACATGGCAGGCCCTCTCAGGGCTTGACTAGAAACAGATGAAAACAGGAGCAAACAACAGGAGAGGGATGTGTGCTGCAGAACCATTCAGATAAGTTTTCCTACAGTTGTCCTACAGATGTTTCATGCTGCAATGAAATGAAGTGAAAAGGCTAAAGAGCAATATCCTGATGGTTAGAAAGCATTGGGAATTTAGCAGCTTGGCCATCCTCATTCAAGGATAGCAGGAGACTTAAGTTTGCAGCAAATAGGAAGCACAGCTGGTCTCTTTTAGGCAGAGGAAGTGTCCGTGGATCTCCTTTGCACATGAAGGCTGGCACAGAAAGCTGTACACTGCAAGGTGCAGTACTTGGTTAAGCAGACACTTGCTGGAAAGCGTCAAGAAAAATAAAGACTGATGCTCATTTTCAACTCCTCAGAGACCAGATTAAAGGAGTTTGGCAGTATTGCCTAACCTGATGCAGACTGACAGGAAGTTTGAGGTAGAGGCAATTAAGCATATATACTCTGGTCAAAATGCAACTGTAAAAGCAAGCAAAAAGTTATTTCCAAAAGGAAATAACCTCAGCACTGTAACAGGTGAAGGGGGCAAGCAATCTGTTGGGAAAAAGGCCCCTTTCATTTTCTGTGCATTTCCTACTGATTACTTGAGCGATCCCATCTTTAACACCGGATGCTGCTCCTTACCTGGTAGTTTCTTACTCCTTCCCAAAAGGTTGTCTGATTGGGCTGAGCCTTCAAGTCGTCAATGCTGAACTGCCAAATGGAATGAAAATGCAAGGTAAGCTCAGGTATGAGACTCGTCTTTTTTGTCACAATGTCTACATTTTTCTTCATTTGTTTTTTAATTGATCCTTCCTTTATAGCACTAACTTTACAGAACCTTTTGGTTCCCACAGGGTCTAAAGTAGATGCTATGAATATCAAATCATCCCTAGGATCTGCCTCCTTCTCCTTCTACATGGATCAAGCCCTAAGGCTGTTGTGCTGGAAAAGAACAGCATTACACCTTTCTCTTTCCAGAAGGAGAGATCATTGCTGAGAGGCAGTAAAGAAACACTATCATGTTGATATTGCAAACAGCCCAAGCTGCCTCATCCTGTGATTCGGTGTTTAACTAATGCTCTGGTTCCACATGGAGCTGCTTACACACTTTGCAGGGTAAGAACCCTAGAATGGGTGACAGTGCTTACTTTCATATCCACTCCCTTCTCGAGCCTGCTCTCTGGCTCTGATTTCAGAAGCCAGTGACAATATGTTTGCTTGCTTTCCTCTCCGCCAGCGTCGCTTTCTTTTGCTTTTTTCCAGTTTTTCCATCCTGACTTGGAACTCCCAGCTGGAGGTTTTGTGGACTTCTCCTCTTCCTCTTTTTTCTGAGTTTCCTCAGTTTTTGCTATTTTAGCATCAGGCTCCTTTTTATCTGGAAAGAAACAACAAAAAAAAGAACCATTCAGGTAAAACACATTTTGTTTCTGATAAGGACTGACTGGTGCTGAAACAATGTCATTGTCCAAGATAGTTTCACAAGCTGATATTTGCCTGCAGCAGAAGTTCAGACCTTGTGCTGGGTTTAACTATTGATATTACTCATCAGAGTTGCTAAGCATTTCTAACTCATGTGTGAAATGAAGATTTTTTTGTGGTGTGCACAGGTGTGGTTTTTAAATAGTCATAATTCTGCTTATACTTGGGTTTAACAGAAAAAAGAAAGAAGCTAGGAAAGGTCGTGCTGCCTCAGTGAGATATAGTTGATTTTTAAAAATTAACAGCAGAGTTACAGGCAACAAAGTTGATTTAAGTGAATGTGGTGAATAATAGGAAAATTGAGCAGCAAAGCAAGCTATTTCAATTACTGCAGAAGCTGGAATCCTTAGATTAAGCCTCCACCGTGCTTGTGGTTTGAGATGGTCCATATTCCTGTTTGTCTCGGACCCAGAAAACAGAAACAATTAGTGACAAGTGATTAAAGGGTAAAAAAGATAGTTATTTGCTTGAGTTGCTACTTCATAAATGAGAATGAGTTGCAGTTCTTAGCTGTCTTGTGCTGAGAACAACCCCCCGTCCCTGTTGTATGTCTGTTAGACTTGTCTCAGTCACACATGGATGCTCAGCCCATTTTTGCAGAGGAAATGGTGTCTGGAAGGCCCGTTGCTCTGAAAGACAGACAGTTAAGATGACTGTCTGCACTTTCACTACAGCCTGGAACCCCAAGTGAGAGCTGCTGAATTAGGACGTCTGCACAGACCTGCTACTGCTCCTTTGTCTCTCTTTCTGCTTGGCCAAGGCATCTCTGGTCTCTTCAAACTATTTTCTCTTCACTGAGAAGCACCTGTTGAATGAGAGAAGGAAGAAAGAATTACTGCTTATTGAGGCACGCTGCAAGAAGGGCAGTGAAGGCAAATGGAGAGCAGATCCCTTTCCCTCGCTGAGCTCACTCGCTGAGCACCACTTCCTGCGCTGGTTCGTGCAAGCGCTGGCGCGGGCCGAGCACCACACCCTTGGCGGGCCGCGGGCCGGCAGGCCTCCAGCGCGGGCCTGATGGACGGTAGCAGGAGGGCTGCTGTTCTCCCCCGCGGAGCAGCGCGGCGGGGGAGAGTCCAGAAGGCGCCGGCGCCAAGGGCCGAGCGTGGAGGGGCTTCCTTGCCGTGCAAGGGGCACCCCGCTGCCGGGGAAGTGCGCGCAGCCTGTTTGCAAAGCCTGCTCCAGGCTCCAGGCTGGCGGGGAGCCTGCTGCTCAGAGCTGTGCAAAAGCCTTTCGCGAAAAGGGAGCGGGTGCAGCCCCTGCTCGCTTGGGCCAGAAGTTCTCTGGCTCTGGCCCGGTCCCCTGCTGCG